TTGCCTGGACTGATGAGTCTCGATTTCTGCTGCGACATTCGGATGGTAGGGTCAGAATTTGGCGTCAACAACATGAAAGCATGGATCCATCCTGCCTTGAATCAACGGTTCAGGCTGGTGGTGGTGGTGTCATGGTGTGGGGAATCTTTTCTTGGCACTCTTTGTGCCCCTTGGTACATGCTTGAGTTGGTTCCTCTTCTTTTAGCTTGTTGCTCCTGTTCTACAAATCAAAGTCTGTGATAAAGTAAACAAGAAGCAGCAAGATCAAGATGAAACACTTTATCTAGTTTATATTTTCACACAACCTCTACTAGATCACATGCTAATGTGTAGCATCCATGCTAACATCAGTATGAAGTACACAAAGCGTCAGAAGTGAAGCTGCAGGGTGTCACAGCTCACCACACTTTCTGTCTTCAGATGAATGTGTGGAAAAATGTTGGCGGCATTGACAGAGCAGCCTCCTTCAAACAGGAACGATCCCTTACTGTTGACTGACAGAAGCAATTATTTTTATATAAATGTTTATTTATTGTTTTCTATTTCTGTGTAATGTTTTGGCCAAAGCATTTCCAGCTGAGCAGTGATGAAAGTAAAGAATTTCAAATGTATCTTTCTGATCAACGCTGAAGAACTAATGTTAAAACAAACATGTGGTTATTGTTGCACAAATAGTAGACTGTCAGTCAGCCCTGCCTTTGTGAAACAGATTTTCTCGCCTTTAAATAAAACAAGATATATTCATTTGAATGTTGCATGTTTTTGATTTGAGAGAGAAAACCCACATGTGCACAGAAAGAATCTCCATCCAGAAAAGATCCCAGGCTGAGGTTCAAAGCTGAAACCAGGTTGTGTTTCTCACAACGTATCATTTCAGTCCTGAAAGGTTTATCCCCTCTGGATGTGATCTGGCTCATTTCTCCTGACCGTTCACTCTGTGTGATTACATCAGCCCACCACAGGAAGACAGGATGGAAATAAAAACTTTCCCTTTTGAATGATTTCTGTTTTATTGCTGTCGTAAATCAGTCGCAGTCCATAAAACGATCTTCTACATAAATAAACTTCCCTTCATGTCACAGTAAAAGTTTATTTCTACAGATTGTTGTAAAATAAGTGACGGCCCTAACTGAACTCAGATTAAAGAGGATTGAGAAGTCAGGATGGATACAAAAGGCTTTAAACTTCTGTTAAATCAGCAATAAACGACGCAGCAGCTCTGTTTTCTGTGATCTGAATGATGAGAAAACAACATGAAGTCTGCTTAGACTTTCACCTGATGCAAGATGAGAAGGAAAATAATAATTTTTCATTCTGATAATTCAGAATGATTCTGACAGTCTGGTGGACTTATTGTTTTTTTTTTTAACTAAATTACCCACTGTTTAAGTTTCATATGTTTTGTAATATGAAACAGTTCTAACTTGAAAAAGTTTTTCTTCTGCTGGAATTTATTATTTTGTAATTATGTTATTTATTTGTGTTTTTCTTCATTTTAACCCCTTAACAGTCTTTGTTTC